TTGCCCGACGTCTTTTTATCGACGTTGGATCGATGTCAGTACTGCGACGTTTTTTGGACGTCTTTTATAAGATGTCGGAACAACGTTAAAATACATCGAAACGACGTCAGGGGATGTTGAGATAAAGACATCGCCCGACGTCATTTTACTGACATCGGAACAACGTCGGAATAGGTCTTTTGACATCGCTGATGAAAATCGTACGTAAATCCGACGTCGGATTCACGTCGGGTGCCCACTGGGCGGGTTACCAGAAAGTGTGAAAGAAATATGGAATGAAACTGAGGATAAATTTAAACTATTTTTAGTCAATAAGTTGGGACTAAATGGAATAGAAGTCGAACGAGCTCATCGAACCGGAGCCAGAAAAGAAGGAAGCTCCAGTTATAATGAAGTTGTTAACAGTTATAATGAAGTTGTTAAGATACAATGATAAAACAAAAATTCTAAAAGAGTCATATAGACTAAAAGGTACAAACATTTACTTAAACGAAGATTTTTCCCATGAGACTGTCAATATTAGGAAAAGACTCCTGGCTGAAGTAAAAGAACGACGCAATAATGGTGAAAATGTTGGTTTGAAAAAGGTACGATAAAATTATTAAATTGAATAATATCAAAAAAAATAACTCTTTTTTCTTATATTTATATTTTACACGTGTATGAATATATTTATATATCTTATATTTAATTTTTTAAGCAGTTAAATTTTTTATTATGAAAATGACGGAAACAAAATATTTTGAAATTTTTGATAAAGAAAACACTCTTCTTCTGAACAATAACAACAACCCTGACCAAAATTTTTTTGAAAACGACTCATTTAAGTCTAATTACTATAGTATCGAAGAATTATCTTGTTTTATAAATGCGTCACAAAATATTTTTTCAGCGCTGACATTAAATATACGCAGCATGAGCAAAAACTTTGAAAACTTTAAAGAAATGCTAAAAGACATAAGTCACGAATTTACGGTAATATGCCTTTTAGAAACATGGTGCAAAGACGAAAATACCATAAACTCAAATTTTCAATTAAAAGGCTATAAAGCTCTCCATCAAACTCGTAGTAGAGGTACTGCCGGAGGAATATGTTTTTACATACATACTACAATACAGTTTAAAAAAGAAATGTAATATTCAAAGCGGAATAATAAAATCTGGCATAAGTGATCATTTTCCGATATTTCTTCTGCTTAACAATTTCAACAATAAAAAAAAGAAAACAAAACAATAATTACAACAAAAAGGCAAATAAATGAAAAAGTATAACAAAGTTCCGAAGCAACTTATCAATGGAAAACTGGGATCAGGTTGTTAATTGCAAAGACACTAACATAGCTTACGATATTTTTAAACACACTTTTACAACTTTGTACGAAAAAGCGTTTCCCAAGCTTGAGCAATTAACAAAACTCAAAAACCTTAAAAGTCCTTGGATGACAAAAGGGCTTATTAAATCTTCAAAAAAAAAAAAAAAAATTTAATAAAAATTTCTGAAAAAAAAAGACTTTTAAAAACGAAAAAATATATAAACAATACAAAAATTTATTTGAAAAGTTAAAGAAACATTCAAAAAAAAAATATTACTGCAATTTATTAGAAAATTATTGCGGTAACACTAAAAAAACATGGGGCGTAATAAAAGAGGTAACAGGAAAAAAAAAAGATGCTACCAAAGTGTTCCCGCAATTTTTAAAAACAGATGAAAATGATACAGTAGCCAATAAGGCAATAGATATTGCAGAGAAATTTAATAACTATTTTATAAAAATTGGGGAAAAACTAGCTATTAAAATAACTCGTGAAAAAAAATGTTATAAGCTGTATCTAAAAAAAAAAGCCTCAGTCATGAACAAGCTTGAAATAACTCCGGATGAGCTTAAAAATGCATTTAATACCTAACAAGAAAACAAAAGTCCAGGACTAGATGACATTAGCGTGAACGTTGTAAAAAATGTCTACGATATTATTGAATATCCCCTTCTGCATATCTGTAATCTGTCTTTAAAAAATGGGGTGTTCTCTGACCAGCTAATGCTAGCAAAAAATGTTCCTATATTTAAAAGCGGAGACGATTCGATTGCTTCTAACTACAGGCCTATTTCTATTTTGCCATGCATTTCAAAAATATTAGAGCGCATAATGCACAATAGGCTAAACAATTATCTAGTAAACCACCACCGACTAAATAATAACCAATATGGCTTTCAAAAACACCATTCAACAGAACACGCTGTAGCCAAACTTGTCAATGAAATTTTAAATGGGTTTGACAACAATAAATACACTCTTGCGGTATTCCTCGATCTCTCAAAAGCGTTTGACACTATTGACCACAAAATTCTGCTTTATAAACCATATAATTATGGAATAAGAAATAACAATTTAAAATGGTTTCGCTCTTGCCTTAATAATCGGAAACAAGCTTTATCATATAACAACACTGTAACACGACTTGAAGACATTACTTGTGGGGTTCCACAAGGATCAATTCTTGGTCCATTATTATTCCTTGTTTATATTAACGATATCTACTTATCTTCTAACATACTTAACTTTGTCCTTTTTGCCGATGATACGCAAGTGTTCTTTAGCCACACAAACATTAGCCTATTATTTAACACTGTTTATCAAGAACTTGAAAACCTGAACGAATGGTTTAAGGCTAAAAAACTCTCCTTAAATGTCAAAAAAAGTAAATATATTATTTTTACAAAATTATCAAAATCTGAAACCCTCCCCTTAAAACTACCTGATTTACTAATTGATAAAACTAAACTTAAACGAGAATACTCAATCAAATTTTTAGGCGTAATTCTTAATGAACATCTTAGCTGGAGTAATCATATCAAAGTAATAGAAAATAAGATATCAAAAATTATTGGTATTATGTATAAAAGAAAACATTTCCTAAACACAAATTGTTTAAAAAATATTTATTTTGCATTTTTTCATAGCTACATCAGCTACTGCAACATTATCTGGGCAAGTACTTATCCTTCAAAGTTAAATATGATCTACAAAATACAAAAACGAGCAATTTGCTTGATATTAAATGCAAATAAATACGCTAGTGCCAGACCACTACTAAGAGAAATTGGAGTGTCTAATGTCTATGAAATAAATATTCTTAATATACTTATTTTCATGTTTAAGTTTAAAAACTGTATGCTACCAAGCATTTTCCAAACTTATTTTTTTTCTTTAAACCACAAATACGAAACTAAATACTCAACAAATAATTTTATTATACCAAAAACATTATCAAAACAAGCTGATTTTTCGATATCTTGCCGAGGGCCGCGGTTATGGAACTTGCTTTTAACAAGTAATATAAAAACTTTAAATTCAACTCAACATTTTAAACGTGCAACAAAACAACACTTATTTGGTTTTGACACAAAGCAATTACTATCGTATTATTAACAACTTTTGGTAATCTTAGTTATTTAATGTCTTATAAATTGACTCAACATCACAATTATATTGTATGGTACTTAGAACATGTATGATATTATTTTATTTTACAATAATAACGTAATTTGTAAATGCAATATTTATTATATCTTACGCAATTTGTTGATGGAATGTAATACAGGTTTATTTGATTTGTGTGTGTATATGAACGGACATATATTTGTGTGTACGTGTGCGTATGTGTGCGTGCGTGCGTGTATAATAAAAATAAAAGTAGAATAAAATAGAGAATTAAAAAAAATAATAATAATGAGAAGAAATAATTAATTTTTTTTTTTTTTTTTTTTTTTTTTTCTCTTTCTGTAAATAATAACTTGACTTTTAAGTTCTTTTCTTCTTAAAATCAGTTCTTGCTTTAGTTTCTTTTTTCCTTTTTCATTTTTATCGGCTGAATTTTTTAGTTATATTAACGGGGCTGGATGATAAGATCATGTCTTCTGCCAGCTCCGGTCGAAACTTTAATGTTATAATTTTTATGTTGTAAAAAAACATTGTAAAAGATTATTCATTTAATGGCGAAATAAATAAATAAAATAAAGTGATATATATAAGACAGAACTTTATTGCTCCAAAAAGTTAAGCACAAGTGACAATTCAACTTTAGCTTCAAAAGCTCTTAAAAGTCAACATCAAATAAATAAAACTATTTTTTTTTAATTGGTTGTTTTTATATTTTTAATTTGTATTACTTGTTTTTTTTAATTATTATCATTAATTGCATTTTTTAACTAAGTATTTTTTTAGTCATCTATAGTTTTGCATATTTCATTCTACCAAAATACTAGGGCAGAATGAACTAGTTTATTTTTTAATTAAAAAATGTTTCTAAAAAAATTTTTTTTTTTAAATTACTAGATTTTTATCAGATTGTATACACTTCAAAATTATCTACAAATTAAAAAAAAAAAGTGTTAAAAATCTTTTTCCCAAAATAAATAAATTAAAACACTTAACAATTCCATTTCACCCGCTTTATTCTATATTGAATTACACTACAGTTATTGCTAAACTGTTATAAGAATTTTTTGCTTTATACTAAATTTACCTCCCCAAGAACCCAAAAGAAATGCACTCAAGAGAGGTTGTTCTTTTTTTTATTATTATTAATTAGAAACCTTTTTTCAACCCTAAACTCCGAAGAAACTGGTTGAGCGTGGTATTTCATGAGGCGCAGGATAGGTTTTAATGTTATTGTTTTACGCATTAGCACTTAACAAAATGGACAGTTAACTTAGTTAATTATATATTGACTTGTTTAATGTTATAGTTTAAAAAGCCACATTTTAATTCAACAAGTTCTTAAGAAAAAATTAAGAAAAAAAAACATGCATTTGAAATAATTTATTATTTAAACCTTTTTTCTTTTAATAAAAGCTCATTTATTTATTTTTTTTGGATCACTACTTATGCACTAAATAATAAGTATAATGGATTTCATGTTTTTAAATTTTAATTATTAAAGAAATAAACTTTTTGAAAATGAGGGTCATTTTTCAAGAATAATATAAAAGCGTTGCTTCCTTCTTTTTTGTAATCGTGTTTATATGTTTTGATGAATTCTAAATCAATTTGTTGTTGTCTAGAATGGATTATTGAAAATAATTTCTGTCAGATGAATTTTAAGGATAAGTCTGGAATGATTTTTAATAAATATACTAAATTGTGAGCAATGCTGGTAAAAGTTTTAACGCATTAAATTAATAGTATTATTAGTAATATATATATATATATATATATATATATATATATATATATATATATATATATATATATATATATATATATATATATATATATATATATATATATATATATATATATATATATATATATATATATATATATATATATATATATATTTAACAATAATTTTTTCAATTTATACATCAACTTTTTTTCATTAAAAATTTTGAATGCTTAATAGAAATAGTGCGCTGCAGTTCAAGGCATATTTACTCTTTATGTTTTGATTGTAAATTATTTTGATTTGAATTAGTATTCAAATCAAAAACATTTAAAATTAAAAATTAAAAGCGTTAATTTGGCTTTAATTTTTGATTTTAATTTTTTTGGTCTGTGAAATATATAAAATTTTGACTAAAAAGTATAATGAACTTTTTTTTATATAATTAAATAATCTAACTATATTAACTAAATACTAATAAAAAGCATTCTTAAAATAAGTTATAAGTTTAAAAAAAATCATTCTTAAAAAAAGCAAGGCTAATGTGATTCAAAATACAAAAATACTTTCACATCTTCCCCTCCCACACCAAAAATTCCTGGATCCGCCACTGCTACGAAATTTAAAATTGGTAGAAGTGACAATCCAGGAAAATTTGGAATTTCTTTTCTGTAAAGTTTGAATATCAATAATAGGTATTTTCCCTTGATTAAAACTCTTTCGAGTTCCGATCCTTAATTTTTTTGCCTACAAAAACCGTTCTTTTAATCAAACCGTCTCAAAAAAAAATTTAATATCTAGCCAATCATTCAAACGGTCTGGGATTCAGATAAAGCTGAAACATGGATATTGAACAGAACTCGCATATACCATATGTAAATATTATTTTCTACGTGTAAAATTAGTGACCAAGCTATTGCAAGCCAGCGTAAGTAAAACTTGCGGGCCCTTTCACAACGTGAACCAGAGCTGCGAGTTTTAGAAATCCCATTATATATTCAAAGATTTTTTTTTTAATTTGTTTTTACAGAGAAACAAAAATTAGGCCGCTTGGCTACATATGCCTCCAAGGTAAATGTTTATTGAAACGTCTTTATGTAATTTATGAATAACCCGAGCTAAAGCTTAGCAGTAGATGCTTATACGCAGATATATATATTCAACATTCCTGCTTTTTTAGTAAGTTATATTTTTAACGTTTAAAGTTTTGTTATAAACTTGAGGATTTATCATATCGCATCAAAACTAAGCTTTTTTTTCTCAAAAACAAAACAATTTTTGTAATAAGTATTTTTTAATTAACTGGCCTAATTATTTTACAAATTATTTTTTTAGATAAGTAAAAAAACAAAACAAAAGTGAGAGTAACAAATCAACTTAATAAAATTTTTTTTTCAATGTAGTGATTTTTAAAAATAAGGCTAAGCCTTAATTCTATTATTTCTTAGAAAAAATTTTAAAAAAATCATATAGTGAGGGTTTCTTTTTACTATTATCTCTCTGAAATTACAACCACTTGTCTACATTAAAATAAAATATAAAGGAGAATGCAAAAACCCTATTAACCACACCCTCTATATTTGCTAATACTCCTTATATATTATTAACATTTGCTAAGCACGGAAATATTTATTCCACCAACCTAAAAATTTTCTTAGAACAAGAAAAAAATCTAAACCTTCTTAGAACAAGAAAAAAAGAAGAAGATGACTGCTGGTAGATATGCTGAAGACTGCTTATAGATATGCTAAAGACTGCTGATTGATACGCTGAAGGCTGCTAGTAGATATGCGGAAGACTGCTGATAGAACTTATTGTACATTTAAAATTAGCGTTAAAAACAAAAAGTGTTACTTCAAAATATGGGTAAATATGCCGTTAAAGATTGTCTTAAGTCAATATAAAAAGTATTCAATAATGAGCAACTTTACTTTAAAAAAAAAATTAATTTGAAAATTTCGTTTAAAAAATCCAATTGTCTAATAGACTAAAGACCCCTCATAATTAATCAAGTTTGTTTGTTATTTTTCGGCATTACAGATAAAAAAAGAATAACATTTTCTTTGTTATTCTTTTTTTATCTGTAAATTTTTCATATTGATGAAGTATTGTCATATTAAATTTTAAAAAATTATATTATCATATAAATTTTTCTGAAAATGTTTTGTTTTAAGAGTACTAATCTCCAAACTTTTGTAAATTTTTGCATCAAAAGTATGAATTTTTTTATAGTTTATAGAGATTTAAAATAAATGTTTAATTTATAAGAAATATGTATACTGGTTGCTTAACAGAATTCATGGCTTTCTGTTTTTTTGAAAATATTTGAACGTGTAATTTACAATAGAATCTTAGATCATTTTACTAAAAACAATTTCTTTTATTTAAAACAATTTGGATCTCAGAAAAATCATTCAACTGAACAGGCTTGTATTGAAATAGTTGATCAAGTAAATAATAGATTTAACAAAAACAAATTTACTTTAGGTAAATTTACCGATTAAGTTGAAGCATTATGGAATAACTAATGAGGTCTACTATTGGATTTAAAGTTATCTCACGGATAGAAAACAAAATGTTCTAAATCAAGAATATAGAGTACTTAAAATCCCATGTGGAGTAACGCAAGAATCAATACTTGGTACTCTCTAATTTTTAGTTTATGGATATGACTTAAATAATGCATCAGTAAAGTTAAACCCAATTATGTTTGCCGATTATACAAACCTACTTTTTTCCAACAATAGTATCAAATAACTTTTTGCAGAATGTTGAATTAAAAAAGATAAATGACTGGTTTATGGCGAATAAACTCTCATTAAATGTGAAAAAACTAAGTATATCTTATTTCATAAAAAAATGTAATTATAAAATCTTTCCCTTAAATTACCAGACGATAAATATACAGAATATTCGATAGCATATCGAGGACCTAAGTTATAAAATTCTTTTCAACAAACTAATGCAAATGTAATAAAATCATAATAGTCATTTAAATTTCAAGCAAAATAACACATTTTTAATTTTGCGGAATAATAATTCCAAAACAATTTTGTAAATTTATTCAAATGAATTTTACTTATTATTCTTAACAGTTACTAATAATATACGTATCTTTTAATGTATTAATTATTAAATATTTTTGTATACGTTTGTATTTATTTCTTTGAATACCTAAAATTGCAATAGTGTTATTGCAAAATATCTTTGTAATTGTAAAAATAACTTTTTGTTTCTTATTATATCTTTAATTTATTTTAAATATTTTTTATTTTATTACTTTTATACTTTTAATGGATTTTTACAAATTTTTTTAAATATTTGATAATTTGAAACATCAATATTTTATTATATTAAGGGGCTCTGTGAAAAGATTAAGGTGATATTGTATCATCCATATCTTCCATATCTTCTTATTTAATGATATTCAACATGTAAAACTCATCTGAAATTAATTTTAACAGCAAAATATAAAAAGAAATGGAAAAAAAAAAGTGGTGACAGTGATGCAATAGTTTATTTATTTACCCCTTATGCTGCTCAACTTATCCAGCTAGGGCAGGTTAAGCAGCTTTTTGAACTTCAGGTATTATCTTATTATAAATATCCTAAAATATTTTTTTTCTTACTGAATTTTTTGGTTAAAAATATTTATTAAATCCAATGCACTGCTTAAGAGAACTGTTAAATTTAGCACTGTTAAATTTAGTACAACCTACATTTTATTTATGAACTTTTTAGCATTTTTTCTTAATTAAATAAATTCGGTCATAAAAAAAAATGTATTATGGATCAATAGCTGTTTAAAATCTATAAAGCAATATCTGCATATTTTCTTTATAGTCTTGTTTGTCTCATGAGCACTGACAACAAGCTCTTTGCTAAAGGATACTCAATAATTCCTAAAAAAATACTTATTCCTAAAAATGAAAATCAACATGTTAATTTTCAGTTGAAAATGTTAGTTATTTATTTCAAGGAATATCAGCTTGAGAAATATTGACCTGTGTAAGAACTTAACGCCTCTAACTATAGGTTATTATTATTTCAGCTAATTGTTCGATAAATTTATTTATAAAAAAACATAATCATTAAAACTATCATTTATAAATTGTAATTTTATGTTTTTTAAATAACATTTAATAGCTATTTTTTATCATAAGCTGTGATAAAATTCCTATAATTTGTGAAACTTTATTAATTTAACTTTTAATTGAACATTTAGATTCTTTGAAATTCAATTGTTATTCTTTTTACTTTTAGATAATTCTTGTTTTTGTCATAAGCATTTCAAATATAAGTTCTACCTGTAAGTTTTTATTTATTCGAAGGAATAGTTACTTTTGTTATATGAGTTTTAATCAATTATGAATCTAAAATTGAAAATATGACTTTCGTGTTGTTAAATTAATTTTTTTCTTTACATTTATGTGTTTTGAGACAAAACGATATAAAAAATAAAACTTTAGAAGTTTTTTTCCGCAACCTCTTTTAACTTTTTAAAACTTAGGTTTCAATACAGTAGAAAAACATTATTCTGAGGTACATAACGCTACCAACAACTCAATTTTTAAAAAACTAGATTATTTTAAAAACCTACAATCAAACATGCGTATAACAAATTAAAAAAAATATGTACACTTTGATCTTTTATATTGCATTAATGCGTCATATGACAAACCTAAAAAAAAAATTTTAACAGATAAGTAGACATAAATATTTGTAAACCAAGCTGACCGGACCCGGGTCTTGTTAAGTCTGCTCAACACAGACCATTTCTATATTATTTGATTGGCCTCTTTATTTTAATAATTTTTTGTAAGCGGTAATTTGCTGCCATTTACTAAAAATTCTTTTTGTTACTCGAAATTTAATTTTCCTAAATATTTTGACACTAATAAAGAGGCTCCTACCCTCTTTTCGCTTTAATGGTGGAATGGTGAGTAGAGTTTTTTTTATTAAGAGTAATCAAGTTTCTGATGATGACGTTTTATCAAAATAATAAAAACTAAAACGATGATTTACATATATAAGAATGTTTCTTTTCTCAAAAGTGATGCAAATGCAGACTAAGCTAACTAACTAGTTAAACACGTAAATAAGACTTAAGTAATTCGATATTTGACAAATGCGCAAAACTACGATGTTCTCCATGTTTTTAAAGGTATTTAGTTACGACCCCCGTTTACAAAAAACCCCTAAGATACGTACAACAAATAATTAGGCATAAAATAGTTGAAACTTAAAAAAAGTTGAACTAATTGCATATATTTATATCTTTTTAACTAACAAAAATTTACTATAAAAAGAAATCAGGTTGTTTTTATATAAATCTTAAAAATTTGTCATAATGTAAATTTAAAATTAAAAAGTAACGGAATTATGATATCAAAATTACAAAAAAAAAAAAAAAGAAAAGAAAAAAAGAAAACCACATAAAAACTGAAAATCAATTTACTTATTTATAGTAACCTATTTTGAAATTGCAGCTAATATAAACATTTATCGAAAATTTACCTATAAAATCTGTTTCGAAGTACAAAAGAATTAACAATACTAAAAAAAAAAATCAAACTAAGGTATAAATTGCATTTTCAGCAAAATGTTGTCTCGGCTTTTAGTTAATAAATAAAAGCAGTAATGAATATTCCAATAATAAAACTACCTTTAATTCATTTTTAACAATAGACACTAACGAAAAGGTAAGTGAAGCTGTCTACCCAGCAGGCACGGAAACGTCCATATGACGTCGAAAGGACGTCTTTTTAGGACGTCCAGAACTGGTTCTAAATGGCAACGCCAGATGACGTCTTTTTAGGACAGAATAAAGACGTGTTTTGAGACGTCTAAAAGACGTGAATTTAGGACGTTCAGAACTGGTGCTAAATGGAAACGCCGAATGACGTCTATTAATAACCTAATTTAGACGTTCTTATTTCGACGTCTAAAACACGTGTTCTAACATGGCTTTACTTAAACGTAAGGTTCAAATTTATGTTTTTACAGAACTTCTTGAGAATAAGAAAAAAATAATAAATCATTTAAATTTTTTAATAACATAATTGTGCTGAGTTTTATAAATTACAACTTTGTAAACGTCTTCTTCCACTTGTTAATTTCCAAGAATCGAATTTTCGAACAGTTGACGTCATTCACTTTCTTTTCGATCAGATGCACTCTTTAAAATATTGCCACCAGCATTTTAAAGTTTTTTTTTTGCTGCAGGAATCAGGTAAGCAGTCTTAACCTTAAAAAAATATTGTTAAGATAAGTATGTAAAAATAAAGGGGAAAGAAATAAATAACACACACACACATATATATATATAATTATTATTTTATAAACATAACATCAAGCATCAAAAATCACGAATTTCTCAACATTTCTCAACAAGCATCAAAAATCACGAATTTCTTGTATCCACCAAGCAGTAATTCAGCCTTTTGAATGCAATTGATATTGGTTTTGCTTCTTTATAAATGCAATTGATATTGGTTTTGCTTCTTGATTAAATGTATTTTTTTTTAAGAAATTTTTGACTGGATTGTTGTGACCAGCCTATATATTTATGTATATCAAGTATGCAATATAAATGCGGTATTAAAAATGCTCTTTTTATAGTAAAATTATACTTACTTTGAAAGCATGCCCTTCTCAAATGCACTGCATGATGAGCCACCAACATTTAATAACTTCTATTTCTAAATTCATAAGATAACACTAGTGTAATTGATATGGGACAATTTAGTGTAAGTTATATTGGGCATAGGAGTAATTCATTAGTGTTTTATTCAATTCAAAAATTTTGT